AGGGTGGTGGGGCCCACAGGGGCAAAATCGTATTTTCACATGGCAGTTAACGGTTCACGAATGACAAATCCAACAGAGTGTCGTATAAGGAATGAAAGTTGAACTCGGTGTCAAATATGGCTCGGTGTTAAATAGGGAACAGAAATTTTTTGAGGGCCAAGAAAGGAACGGGTCATTTGTCTGGTGTCAGATAAGGAATTATCTCTAAAAAAATATTGAAGCACTTCAAATTCGGCTTAGAGTCTAAGATCACTGATCCACTTTTCCCCGGTGTTCCTAATGGGATGTTTTAGCATCACCATCGATATCAACGAAGGGGGAACAAGAAAATTGAATGTGTCAATTACAACGATCATGGCCCAAATTTGATGTATTTTATGGCGATGACCAGGGAGAGAGAAACAAGTTCAGTCGGCCAAGATTATGACCAAATCATGAAAAGCATATTCTCTTTTGATATCTTATATAAGCTATTGGTAATTTGATTCCTTGGTACACATGTGTGAGAAGTTCATGAGAAGCGCAAGCGGCATAAAGTTTGTTTTTCTCTCTCTAATAAGTTAATTGCAAGTGGAAACAAACATGGTCATAGCAAGGTTCATGACAACGCATTAGAGTGGCATAAGTAGCAAGCTGGATTAGTGTCAGTGTTGGTTCCACAATTTGTTTTTGAAATGTTTGCGCCAATGGATGTTGGTGTGGCGATGGGGCTAACTAGCGGTTGTTCGGGGTAACAGCGGCAGCAAAGATGAACAACATTTTGGCGAATCCAGTGATGTCTAGTGGAAAAAGATGACAACCATGGATCCTTAATTCAAAATTTAAATTTACAAGAAATCAAACAATTAGAAATTTCGTGAGAGACTTAGACGGCTTTTTTTATCGAGCTCACCAAAGAATTGAACCCTATATGGATCTGGCCTCATCAGAAATTACGCAACCACGGCCCACAGGATAGAGGTAAAATAAAAAGGAAGTGGAGAGGCATTTAAGCTAAAGAATCGGTCGATGATAGTTGTATAGAGTTCGAGCAAGTGGACATCGGAGCTGGAGGCCTTTGACAAGCTCTTCGACAGCAACTTGATTGCGTCCAACGCCGATGCGCTGGACGTGCTCTTCCTGGCCATTGGAAAGGGCCCGTCCAGGCAGCCGCGAAGACACAAGGCCACCTCCTAGGTCACAAAGCTGCGTCGATATTGATTGTTTCCTTTTAAGTAATATCGAAACAAGATATCTTTTGCTAGGATGGTCCAGCTTCGGCTGTGTTAGGTCGATCTTCTTCGGCGCTCGATAGAAGCACGTTATATGTTTGTTTAAACTCTTCTCTTTAATACAATGATACGCAATTCTTTTGCGTATTCGAGAAAAAAGAAAAGCATTGAGAGAGGACAATTATAGTCATATTATAAATAAATAAATATTTTCCAAAAATTATTTTCAAGTTAAAAAAATCTTATATAGTTATAATTTAGAAACTAGCTACCCGTGCTTTTTGTGTAGGTCACGTTGCTAGTTTGATGTACGAGTTGTGGAGAAGCTCCTTTATTCAATTTGGTCATCAACTGCTATTAAACATGATCTAGCAGCTTGTGTTTGATGAAGTTAATAATTGCGATCTGGCGGCCTGTTCGCTTGCTCGTAAACGATCGTAAATTTCCAGTCAGAAACAGTGTTTTTCTCTCACACCAAACCAGCCAGCAGTAAATAATCTACGATACGATACGGCCAACATGCCGTGATCCATACACTGTACCGCCTTTAGAAAAAGGACAGCCCTGAACCTACCACTCGTCCAGGCAGAGCTACAGTCTAGCGCACGTGATATCTCGTGCAGGAAACCGTCGCTGGCAGAGCGATTATATCGTCGTCATCTCACATATCACCATGATGAACGCCGAAATGTGGCCATCAAGCCGCAACAAGTTGCAGTTAATTAGATGCAACCCGTCTCTAACCCCTTCCAAATTTTGTTGTCTCTTGGTCTCGAATGAAACTCCCGCGCTACCGCTACTCGTCAGAATCGACTCTCGTCGACCGCGACCCGTGATTCCCCCCGTCTGGTCCTCTCCGTCTTTACTCCGGCGACGCCTACCGCGGCAATCGGCATCGGGCAACGGGCAGGCAAGGGGCGGTCCAGATTTTTTTTTCTGCTGTCCCCGCGCGCGGTGCGAGTGTCCAGTGCGTGCACCGTGCTGCGGCTGGCTCGGGACCCACCCACGGTTTGAACACAGGCGCGCGGCGGGTCCCGGGCGCCCCCCGCCCGCGCGTCACGCGACGAAAACCGCGGACGACGCGCACGGGAGAGCACAGGCGAATCACGCACGGACGGCTAGACGCCACGCGCGACGCGGGTAGAAATACGCGGCGCCACCCCGATAACGCCCCACTGCCCTTCCTCCCTCGGCGGAAACATCCCACTCCCCGGGCCACCACAACCTGCCTGCCCGTGCCCGCCCACTGCCCAGCGCGCACCATCCACGCCTCTTCTCGTCTTCTCGTCTTCTCCCCAGCTACCGCGCCCCCTCCCTGTATTACTGCGTGCCCTGTTCTTCCCTGTCTGCTCCACCAGCTTGGGGCTTAGCTACCTGGGCCTGGCTGTCCGCTCTCCGAGTACGGAAGCCTCAGCAGCTGAAGGATCTGGCCTGGGCGCCCGCCGGACGACGGGAGAGGTACGTGCTTGCCTCCTGCCTTGGATTGCCTTCTTGTTCTTGGGTAGCTGGTACTAGCTCGGGCTTGTGTGCGGTTGGCGACTGAAACGGATGGGATTATGGGAAGCTGCTGTTTTGCTTGCTTTGCTTCAAGGTTCAGGTTCAAGCTCCTGTAACTCTGCTCGGACTGCGTGTCGTCTCTGCTTGCCCCTGTTAGTGCCGCTTCGGGGCCTCGCTGTCTTACTGCGGCTGTTTTTGACCTTAGCATGTGACAGTGGTTTGCGTGAACCGATCTAGACGTTCTCAGTTCGTTGTTCTGTGCCCTGTGACGCTGAGAGACGTGGGAGCTTCAAAAAAAAAGTATAGTAGAACGAAGCTGCTCTGAACTCTGAAGGGGGATCCCCTCTGAAGGGAGCTTTTCTTGGTGAATCATGGTTTTTTACTCTCTCCATTTTCCTTAAAAAGTGATTGTTTTTTTCTGCATACAGTATCCTGCAAGAACAGGATCCTACTACTAGTAGTAGTACAAGTAGCCTACAACTCCCATAGGCTCGTACAGCACATTCATCATTCAAGCCTTCATGGCCTTGCTTTGTGAAGTTGTGGGGAATTTCTTGTTTCTATTTTTTTTTTTAAAACATGTCAATCGATTAGGTCTTAGGATGAGCACGATGCACACGAGTGGTGGTTAGTACTCGTTTACGCGGATCTCTTGATCCGCGACCGGAAAAACAACAGATCTAGAAGTTTTTGACCACCTGATTTTCTGAAATTTTTATATATAAAGAGGATAAAAAAATTTCTTGTGCCGGGAGTGGTTCAACGTACGGGTCAAACTCCTTGTGCGGTGCGGGGGTTGCTTTGCCGCAGAAAATTCTCCGAGACCGATGGTGATAATTTATTCGGCTTACGCCATATTGAGCTCGTTCGATTTTTTTTAAGCCGAAACCGTATTTTTCTCTTACAACAATTCAGCCAATTCAGCCAGAATGTTTTTCAGCCATCCCAAATTTCTGCCAGCCGAAGGGGACCATGACTCTCGCCTGCAGCCTCTCTTCTGTTGACCGTTCGTACCACAATTCAGTACTCAGTAGTACGTGCTTGCACGTTTGGTTCGGAGACTGTACGGTATACATCTCTTACCATGACGCAGAATCGTAGCTTTTCTTTGGTCAACCTTACAGCATCCTCGTGCCCTTTCTGTCAGCACGAATTTGGAGATAGTTGGTCGTGCTTGTGTTTGTCGAGGTTCGGTGTGCTGCTGTGGTCCTATTTTGGCCCGGGTTGGATGCAAATTTAGTGGAGGATTTGGGGATTACTATTTGGTCTACATCTGGCTTTCACAACTGCTCCCTCCGTCCTAAATAATAAGTCATTCCAAAAATCTCGGAGAGTCAAATCATATCAAGTTTGACCAAATTTATACAGCCTGTTCGGCTGGGATTATTCCCTCGTAAACGATTGTAAATTTCCAGCCAAAACAGTATTTTTCTCTCACACCAAACCATCCAGTTGTACTTCTTCACGAACCAGCAACGATCCAGCCCAGCCAAACGAACAGGCCGATAATTTTAACGAAGAACCTAATGATACTTAGTTGGTATGATAAATGTTATTATCTTATCAAATATATTTTGTCAAACTTGAGATACTTTGACTCTCCAAGATTTTTGGAATGACTTATAATTTGGAATGGTAGGAGTAGCATTTTCTGATTAGGCTAACTAGCTATATGCTCGGTCATGGCTTTCAGAATTAGCATGGATGAAAATACCTGCATGCTACCTTCAGTAAAGAGAACCTTTCGGAGGGAGAGATACTCATTTTTTTCCTGATTGACTAGAGATGCTGTTAAACGTATGTGCTAACTGTAGATTTTTCACAACTTGCTTTCTGAGAAACACACCAACCTATTTTTTATTATATGTATTAAACAGTAGGGGCTTCTTGCCCCTCCTGAATTCTCAAAAAAAACTTGCTTTCTGAGCAGTTAATTCTCAACTTGTGACAGTTGGGAACTTCTGTGAGTGCTTATTGTTGAGTTAGCACACCAGATTTATTTCTGTAAGGGACAAGGCTGTGTAGTTTGTTCTCATATTTCACTGTCAAACTTCAGTACTAATTCTCTTACTGGTACATTACTTTGTAGGTTTTGTTCTCACATGCTTAATTTACTGTTGCAGATTCTGTTTGATCTTCATAAACTACTCCTAGACAACTAGAAGACATATTCACACATATCAGCAATCAAATTGCAAACTCCGAATTGACTTCAAAATTGGACATGCTTGTCTTACCAGAAGCAATTGATAACTTGGAGTTGTAGTCTATCGGACTCTCTACTGGACCAGTATGGCTGACACTCCAACTTCCCGCATGGTGCACCCCTTTGGCGACGTCCCAAGGCAGACTCCCAAGCAATTCCTGCATTCTGGTAACTCACAACACCACTGTCATCCATACCAGTCAGCTTCGGACACCCATGTCGTGCCGCAGCATCGTTACACCATGAGGTCTCATTCGCCGGATGCTACTTCTGAAGACCATGAGACTCACAAGCAGTACACACTGGACTCCTCAGCAGCTTCTGGTTGTTCAAGGCATGATTCTCCCTCCAGTCAAAGTGTCCATGGTGGGAGTGGCAGCCCTGTATCTCATGAAGACAGCCACTCCGGCTCCACAAATGGCAATGGATCACCTGTGAGCGCGTCGTGTGTCACTGAGGACCCTACTGATCTCAAGCAGAAGCTGAAGGATCTTGAGGCTGTAATGCTGGGGACAGACCCAGAGATCGCCAACAGTCTCGAGATCTCCATAGCAGACCAACTTTCATTGGAGCCCGAGGAGTGGAAGCACATGATGAGCATGCCCGGAGGGAACCTGAAGGAGCTGCTAATTGCCTGCGCTAGAGCAGTGGAACATAACAACAGCTACGCCATTGATCTGATGATCCCAGAGTTGAGGAAGATGGTTTCAGTGTCCGGTGAGCCACTTGAGAGGCTGGGAGCCTACATGGTGGAAGGTCTTGTTGCCAGGCTCGCGGCCTCTGGCAGCTCAATCTACAAAGCTTTGAAGTGTAAGGAGCCCAGGAGTTCTGATCTCCTCTCCTACATGCACTTCCTGTATGAGGCCTGCCCCTACTTCAAGTTCGGCTACATGTCAGCGAATGGCGCAATCGCCGAGGCTGTCAAGGGAGAAGACAGGATCCATATCATTGACTTCCACATCGCTCAAGGGGCTCAGTGGATCTCTCTCCTTCAAGCCCTTGCAGCCAGGCCTGGCGGGCCACCGTTCGTGAGGATCACCGGCATTGATGATTCAGTCTCAGCTTACGCCCGAGGCGGCGGTCTGGAGTTGGTTGGCAGGAGGCTGTCACACATTGCTGGCCTCTACAATGTGCCCTTTCAGTTCGACGCAGTTGCTATCTCCAGCAGCGAAGTAGAGGTGGGGCATCTCGGCATCGTCCCTGGCGAAGCCGTTGCTGTCAACTTCACCCTGGAGCTGCACCACGTCCCCGACGAGACGGTGAGCACGGCGAACCACCGGGACCGGATCCTGAGGCTGGTGAAGGGCCTGTCGCCCAAGGTGCTCACGCTGGTGGAGCAGGAGTCCAACACCAACACGGCCCCCTTCGAGCAGCGGTTCGCGGAGACGCTGGACTACTACACGGCCATATTCGAGTCCATCGACCTGGCGCTGCCGAGGGACGACAGGGAGCGCATCAACATCGAGCAGCACTGCCTGGCTCGGGAGATCGTGAACCTGGTGGCCTGCGAGGGCGAGGAGCGGGTGGAGCGGCACGAGGTGTTCGGCAAGTGGAAGGCACGGCTGATGATGGCCGGGTTCAGGCCGTCCCCGCTCAGCGCGCTGGTCAACGCCACCATCAAGACGCTGCTGCAGAGCTACTCGCCGGACTACAAGCTCGCAGAGAGGGACGGCGTGCTCTACCTCGGGTGGAAGAACAGGCCCCTGATTGTCTCATCGGCATGGCACTAGTGTTGACTTCAGAGAATGTTGATCTGATGGAGAATGTTTCTTGTAACTTTCTAAGTACCTCGTAGTAGTTTAGATATGTTTGTCTGAGCACTAAAACTATATATAGGAAGCCTGTGGTGATACTGAGTCGGAGTAGAACACCTATAGCCTGATGCTGTGATGGCAGTCACCACCAGCCTGATAATGTGTGGTAGTAAGTTTTGGTATATGTTTCAGTTAATCAGTTTTGCTTTGAAAATCTGGGTGCATTCTGAAGAGTGATCTCAGTCAGGAAGGTCATCAACCCTTTTAGCTAACCCTTCGGAAATCTTCGCTAGTGGGGCCGAAAATCAACAGAAAAATAATTCAGCTCAGTTCGCAGAAATCTAGCGGATTTTTGCATATCTTACGAAACCGCACTTGTGAAATGATATATTTCATTCCATATTGAATGTCAAACTGGCATCGTTCATATGCAGGCGATAACAAAGCTTTGCCACCGGATGGCTATTTGGTTCTATCCCATATTCCAGTACAGAAAGAAGTCTACATAACCAAATTATCATAATCTAATTAATCATAACTGGTTTGCTGTACAACGAATGTTGAGCTGCAGCGTCACATACAGCGAGCACATCCAAACAGCAAAAGACATCATGTGTCATCGCTGCAGCTCCCAGGTATACCTTGACCGCCTCCAATTATGTGCGGATGATACACAGTAGAGCATCTTCTGAAGAGATCTTCATGACGACGGTAATATGTGATTCATGGAGGTATAACCAGCTGCTGAGACACTCATGGACCCATCACTAAGTTACCAGCACTACTGTAACATAAGTTAGCTGATCGGTCCAAAGGTGTGGCTTTGAAAGTAAACCCTTCATTTCCTTTTTCTTCTCTGGAACCGTATACGCTGCTAGCTGCATTTCCAGGTACTGCTGTCACAGGCATTCCTGGAAGTCCCATGCTACCATACACAGGAGCCATGTGTTGCATTTGATACTGCATAGGTTCTGGAACTGAGGGCTGCATTTGGTTTGTTGCATCGCTGTGGTTAGGGCTGATACCTACACCAAGGTCAAGACTGATGGTGTCACTTTCGGCTGCCTGAGAATATTGATTGGTGAAGGCCCTGGCATCGCATGATCTCATCATGCCACCAAGGCCTGGCATGTTGCTGTTAATAGGATGCACCACAGGCTTCATCATGGGAGCTGTGGACATCTCATGGCTTGCATTCCTGGAAGCAGGGACTTCATGGTTATGTTTTCCTTCATATGTTGTGATCACTGACTTCGGGTCATGTGATGCTCTCTCAACATGCTTCCTGACCGGGCATCCTGTATGTGTGCATTTGTAGTAACTCCTGCAATCAAGAACAGAAGTGAATATGTTTTTACATATGAATGCACTGCCTAATGTGTCATTATTTTCTTAAAAAAATAAAGTGCAGAAAACTAGAGGCATGCCAATCTTATCACCAGGACAGCCACATCAAAATTTTGGCAACCATAGGTATCAAACCAACATGAATTGGAGTCCACATGCCTAGCTAGCAACCCAATTCAGAGCAAGTTCTTTCAAGCCTTACTTCCCAGCCAAATTAAACTACATGAAAGGCTTTGAACCAAAAGACCAAGCGTAGAAGACAAATCCCAACTAACCAATTGCCTTGACTTCATGTCATTAATAAAAAAAACACACTTTATTTATGCAAACTACATATATTTGGAAAAGAGTGCAAGACAATGCTTATTTTCTACATCAAATTTACTTTTGCAGGGTAGGGCGATAGGCTAGGATATATACATAAATCAACATATACTTGTATGATGGTATAAAAAATGTGAAGCACCTGATATTCCTACCTTATACACTTTACATATATCTCATTACTTTAAATCTTGTGTAGTTAGATGCAATCTATGCGAAGGGAATAGAACACATCATAATAGTATTGGCTAGTATCTGCCCAAATCAGGTGCCAAACAGTACAAAATGGCAGCACAAATCAACTGAATAAATGGACTCTAGCTCTGAGGGACCTTGAAGGGACACATGGACAGATCTTAATAAGAAGGTTTCCTTCTCCATATTTGAGATAGATGTCCATAGCAACTTTTGCATCTTTCCACCATACATCTTTACCAGATCTGCCTCCTAATTTGTTGAAAGTCAATCTTTCAGCTTATCAGCGTTAAGTAGAAAATTTTATTGTTTCTTGGTCATTTCCACTCTGGATTGAAGTTTCTAGAGAGCACAAGTAACCAGTATAGTAATAACAATTTTTTTAGAAAGGGCCAAAAATCAACAGGTACACAAATGATCAATTGCAATAAGATATGCTGATTACAAACATTTCCTAGTTTCTAGTCCAAATAATGTAACCCGACTTTATCAGATAATGGTTCAAATCCTCTTGGAATGTCAAACACAAAAAAAAGAAGGAAAACATAATAGTGGCAAAAATAATGAACAAAATGAGTACTGACCGTGGGTTGGGGTTTCCTTTCACTACTTTCTGCCCATATTTGCGCCAGCGATACCCATCATCCAAGATATCAACTTCACTAACAGTTTGTACAACAACACGGGGCTCGCGATTTGGTTTACCCATCAAAGCAGCATCGATACCAGCAGATTCCATTTTCCTAGTCACACAGTTGTGGAGTACAGGATTAGCAATTGAGAGGGGAGAGCCTTTAGGGCATACTGAATCCAAAGTTCAAACCATGTCTTACCTGCGTTTCAAGTCCAAATCATCATCGTCGTTAGCGTCATCCCCAGGGTAGGGTCTTCCACCTCCAGCATCAACATCATCATCACTAGCTGGACCCGGAACAGTATCAACCATACCAGCTGAATGTACTTGGTTACAGAGGTTGGAATAAATATTTGAAGGCTTGTCTGCATAATAACAGAAATTCGCAGACCCAACAAAATGTCACAGGTAAACATTAAGAAACTTAGTATCAAATGATCATTGTATGTTCAAATCATTCCTTCTCAAGAATTTGGAAGACTCAGGAACTAAAGTTGTTACAAAAGCAATTGAAACAGACATGCAAAATGAGCAAGAAAATACTTCATAAAGCAAAATAGATATATGTACGCTCAAGTAGAAATTGCAATGCACCGGAAAAATGTAATTACAGAAAACCATGGCACACTCACCTTCAATAGGTGCCACACCATCATATCTTTCTTCACCTTGGCTTGAAAGAACTGCACCAGCAGCTAACCTTCTATTCGGTTGGGGCTTAGGATGATTATGATGCCCTTTATAAACAACTTCAGTAATCTGACCATCAAGCGAACGCTCTAATAGCTTTTTAACTTCACAATTAGGATGCGTGCACTTGTAATAACTTCTAGGATTTTCACTTCCCTTGACATGCTTCTGTCCATATTTGCGCCAATTATAGCCATCCTCTGCTGATTTTTCAGCTACATTTTCAGTTTGTGCCTCCTGGGCAGCATTTTCAGAGCTATTTATCTGGTGCATCTCTGATGTACCAACTTCAGCAGGCATATTGTCAGATGGACAAACTATTGAAACAGGTTGGTTTGGAGCACTTGAAACATTTGCTGTGTGACTCGATTCCCGTGAGCAGAGAGGTTTGTTTTCAGTCATCAAATTGCTAGATGGTGAGGCATGATTTGAGCTATGATTTTGCATAGGGGTGTCATGATGATTTTGATTGTTGACCGCAGGAGCCTGCATGTGAGCACTATGAATGTCATGGAATACAAAATTATTTGCAGTGTAAGTCAACAAGAATAAGAACACAGAAGCCCCATATGGGTATATCACAATAAATACTGAAGTTTTTTCATAAAAACGTATCAATTATACAAAAAGAAAACTTTTACATATATGAGAGTAGACAAGTTAAGACTCGGGACAAAATATAAGAATATCAACTTCATTCGATGTTGAAGTTAGAACACCCTATTTTGTTGATAATAACCGAAGCCACAGAAAGAGTAATCCTTTCAGCACTGCAACATAGGAATGCCATGGAAATTTTATAAGGAAACATCCACACCACTTCGGTCGTGGACTATTCCTATGAAACTCCTGTAGACTTTCCTTTTTATATTCTAATTTCGCAGGCTTGTTGTAAATGTGTAAGCACACTAGCAACCTTTTCACCTCGAACTGTCCTAAAACTTAATCATAACATATATTCCTTAATCAATCCATTTTCCAGTGTAGCATTTTATAGGTTCAGAAATGCTATACAACACACGTGTTTTAGCACAAAAAAACACATGGATTTTTTTGTATCTCTCTCTTTCTCACCGGTGACCACCGGCGCGCCAAGGCGCCAGCGATCAAGCGAGCTCGCCCAGCGCCAAGCCTCCCGTGCTGCCAAGCCCATGGCAAAGGATGGTGGCGGCGGGCAAGGCAGATCTGTGATTTGTCCTTCCATAGAAAAAAAATTGTGATCTGTGATTTGTGGAGGCTGGAGGTAGAAGAAGGGTGGAGGCTGTTGGATCTTAATCCTATGGTGCAAAAAAATTCATGTGTTGAAACTGCATAAAACACATGGTTGTGTAGTAGACAGACTCAGCTATAGGTTATCAAGCCAGAATGTAACAGAACCATAGCTCATTCAGACTTGAAATTGTGGTATACACAAAGCCACAAACACAACAGTATCACTCATATGTGGTCAGTTACTCAGTTGAAAAAATAATACTGGGAGCTCAATAGCAGGCCCCTGGTCCCCTTGTGAGTCATTTGCAAAGCCCTAGGGAATTTTTCCCAAACCATGATAATGAACTGTGTCACCTACTTTTTATTTCTAGCAAATCCAAGTAGAAAAACTTAGACTAGTGACAACGTGCACTAGACCCGACAAAACTGAGTTAATCATATTCCAATATAACAGTCAAGAGTTCAAATTAATTTGATGCCAGAATTCACTCCCTAACTCCCAAAATAAACAGGAGGGGGGGGGGTGTGGGGGGGTGTGGGGGGGTTAACCGGTTATGTTATCCAACTAACTTAC